TTCAAAGTAGTCATAATAACCTAGACAACATTCAAATTGTCATAATAACCTGGAAAGCATTCAAAGTGGTAAAAATGAACTGACACATTCTAATTGTTCATAATAACCTGGACAATATCCACAGTGGTCATAATAACCTAGACAACATTCAAAGTAGTCATAATAACCTGGAGAGCATTCAAAATAGTCATAATAACCTGGAAAGCATTCAAAGTGGTAATAATGAACTTGACAACATTCTAATTGGTCATAATAACCTGGACAACATTCAAAGTGGTCATAATAACCTGGAAAGCATTCAAAATAGTCATAATAACCTGGAAAGCATTCAAAGTGGTAATAATGAACTTGACAACATTCTAATTGGCCATAATAGCCTGGACAACATCCAAAGTGGTCATAATAACCTGGACAACATTCAAAGTGGTCATAATAACCTGGAAAGCAATCAAAGTAGTCATAATAACCTTGACAACATCACAAGCGTTCCTAAGAACCTGAACAACAGGTTACCACAAACACAAGGTCATATCACAGCAGTAAATTAGGAGTTCTCACCAGCTCCAACAGCAGAGGCTGATCCAGCAGAACTACCACCACAGCAATGATCAGTATTGTACGGGTTCCTTGCTGTCCCATGAATTCTGCAATATAAATATTTTGAAGTTAGAATTTTGTTTTCTCTAATCTGCTTCTCTATGTATTTTGTCACTGTTATTAGATTCTATTAAATGCTTTTTTACAATTTCTTCATGATTTTCAAATATTGTAATCTATTAAAATGTTTTTCAGTCACATGCCAAATATATGGGGGTTTGTGGCCATACACAAGAATGCACAAATGTCCATAATTAGTATAATATACAATCCTACCCTAAAATATTGTACCCCGGTAATAACCTTACATGCTTAAGTTGATTCCATTAACATCCATAACCAAAGGTCAATTCCCACCCTAAAGTATTGCAGTACCCTTATTTGCATGGGTTGATCCCTGTAACACCCATAGCAATAGGTCCATTCCCACCCTAAAGCAAAGAGGTACCCTTATTTGCATGGGTTGATCCCTGTAACACCCATATCAATAGGTCCATTCCCAATCTAAAGCATTGAGCTACCCTTATTTGCATGGGTTGATCCCTGTAACACCCATAGCAATAGGTCCATTCCCACCCTAAAGCATTGAGCTACCCTTATTTGCATGGGTTGATCCCTGTAACACCCATAGCAATAGGTCCATTTCCACCCTAAAGCATTGTAGTACCCTTATTTGCATGGGTTGATCCCTGTAACATCCATGCAAAAGGTCCATTCCCACCCTAAATCATTGT